TACACATCTGTCACCTTAGAAGAGATTTTACTACCTATTTTGAGACAACACATCCAAATTTGGGATTATGACCTTCTGTAAGGATTTATCTTTAGAAAAAAAAATCTCTCTCTGAGAGCTATCACGAGTACGCTTGGGGCAGAAGCTGGCCAGGTGTGTAGAGAACGGGAAAACTGCCCTGCTTCCCCAGGTTGCTGGGTCAGATGCAGCCTTCTTGTCTTGGGACAGGGTCTGAGCTGGGTGCTAGAGGATCAATATGAGTTTCTCAGACAGAAGAACAAGAGTTTAGACCACGGCAGGCTCAGAGTGCTAAAGAACCCTGTCTTAGAGAAGTGTTTTAACGTGAATAAAATAGCTGAGCATGGGAACCAAATTATATAGAAAAGCAACTAAAATATTTTAATAGTCGCTTATTAATATCTGTGATTTATTAATGCATTCATAGCCAAGCCCAGCATTGGGTCTAACCACTAGAACAAGGTTGAACTAGTCATGAATATAAATGACATTTGTAATGTGATATGAAAACATTGGTGATTTCTGTTGGTGACAAAGGCACATGTACTGCAAATGTACTGTGCTTTATTACATGCATTGAAAGCAAAGGAAATGTTACATTTCAGCTATGCTTACAGAGAGTAATGAACAACATCAAAACTAACACATACACACACACACACACACACACACAGTCATGCCTTCACATTCCTGACTGCTTTCCATAGAACACAGGCAGTGGGTCAGATTCTGAACACCTGGCTTAGGCAGAGCTAACCACTCAGAGACAGCCTGGAGTAGGAAGACAGGGCAGGAGGAGGTACAGAGGTGGGGGGAAAGGGGACAGGGCTGCGAAGGCAGGGTGACAGGCAGATCAGACCTCTTAAAATTTTACTTGTCTTCAGGAGTTTTTTTTAAAAAATCATATTCCTTGAAACACGTTATAAAAAGACTACGTGCTCATTACAGAGAGCAAAGAAACAAAAAGAAGAAGAAGAAGAAGAAGAAGAAGAAGAAGAAGAAGAAGAAGAAGAAGAAGAAGAAGAAGACCACAGAACATTCCTACTGCCAAGACAGTGTCGTTGAACATTGCAGTTAGTTGCCGTTCTCGGTGGAAGGCTGTAGTTTAGGAGTTGGTCCTGGCGCAAAAGGGTTGAAATTTCCAATGTGCACTCTACTCCTTAGTTTCCTTGTCTTGTTTCTGTGTCTGTAAAGTGAAGATGACTGTCACTGTACCTATTTTATCAGGTTGCTTTAGAATTACATAAATCTGTCCTTAAGGTGTGCGCTGAGCAGGCCATAATTACCTCCTGGTAAAGGTTGGCACCAATCGTGCCTTCCTCAATGCATAACCAGCCCTGGCATTGGCTTGGCTTAGGATTCATGTAGATGCCCATATAATTCTACATCCTGCTTGATTCTCTTAATATTGTTACATAAATAATCTTAATGCTAATATTAAATGTTCATATACATTTTAAATGCCTAAAATACCATTCTATTTGGGCATTCGACTCACTCTTTATAACTATTCCTTCATGGTTAGACATTTAATTTATTTCCAGTTTCCCATGAGAAGAGTCAAGAGGCTGTGGTATGGCTAGGCTATGGTTCCTTCCTGTGTTACCCTAAGGGCTGAAAGGGGCCAAGATACATAAGACAGACCAAAGCCACAGGTCAATGTTTTATGATTATGGTTTACCCTACTGCTTGGAGAAAAGATTGGAAATGGAGAATCCTGTATACAAACCCCTTAGGAAGTCAGGCCAGATCAGCAGAGCCTAGCCCCAATAAGTGAGTGAATACAGTTAGAGGGAAGTTGCGGGAGACTGAAGAGGGACTGTGGCTCTGACCTTCAAGAGCTAAGGAAAGTGAACCACAGTGGTTAAGAACATGAGCTTTGGTGTCAGATGAACCTCTAAGGCCAAGACTGGCTCAGCTAAGTATTACCTATGTAGGCTTGAATAAGTTACTTATACACTACGCCTCCATTTCCACATCTGTAAAGTGGGAATATAATGAATGTTCCTTGGAGGAGGAAGGGGATCAGCAAGAGCTGACAGAGGAAGATGGAGGAGCTCAGGGTGGAAAGAGAGATGAATAAGAAGGAGTATAATGATATATGTATATGAAAATGCCGTAATGAAACCCATCACTTTGTGGCCAACTTTAAAAATTAATACATTTGGAGGGCTGGGGCGATGGTTCAGCAGGAAAGAGCCCTTACTGCTCTTGCAGAGGACCTCAGTTTGATTCCTGGCATGGATGTCGGATGGCTCGCAGCCATCTGTAATTGGACCCTCTCAGACCCAAGCGGTTTGGCAACAGAGTCCATGCTCACACTACGCTGAACTCTGCTGTACTGAGAAGGAGGTGCCAGAGGGCAGGTGCCATGGCTAAGGCAAGCGGTGCTTAGAACTTGATTTGTATTCAAGACGCAAGCCCAGTGGTAGGATCATCTGAGCCAATGCAGCAAGGCCGAGTTTGCTCAGGCTGAAGAAGGCATAGTAAGATCTGGATTAAGCAAATCAAAAAGTAAGATGCACTAGCCAAGAGAGATTGTCAGAGAAGTAGATGAGAAGCAGCACTGGACAGTGTAATGAAATCCCAAAGAACAGCGCCACCAGCTTGTCAGATGCTGGGAAAGAGAGACGACTGAGGACCGGTGACAGTCGGTGATGATCATGACAAAAAGTGCAGTAGAACACGGTGGGCTCAGAGAGAGAGTCACTGTAGTTGTGGAGGAGAGAGCTGGGGGCAGGGGCTGTAGAGAACCAGACTGGGCAGTGAATGGGGCCAGGGGCTTAAAGCCCAAAGTTGACTCTGACCTTGACTAGCCACCTCATATATGTCTCTTAACATTGGGAGGGAGGACTCCTCTCAAAGGTTGTCATGCTGGGGTGTCATTGAAAGCCTCCAGCAGGCAGGCAGGGGGAGCTACACAGCCAGGCATGAGAAGTCTTGCATTCTGCTGAGGCTCTCCCAAGCTTAGGCCTGGCCACTAGGCTGCATGCCTCTGGGGATCGGTATGCTTAGTACTGCTGAGTCCTCTGCAGCTTTGAGACGTTGGCGTGCACAGGAAAAGGGAGGATATAGTAGCTCCGGAGCTGATGTGGTACCCTGGAACTCTGTGATCTGAGCCATAGAGCCCTCTCCTGCCACCCGCACCCTATGCTGTTGGGCCCACGGCTGTTTTGGCTGATGGCTTCCTCCACAAACCAGCATGCCACCTCTCCTCACACACAGTTTCTGGGCTGGGAAGTGAGCTCTGTAGTGAAGAAGAGGAAAATGTGTGTGGGAACCAAGGTTTTCAGTTTAGGGAACAATGTCAAATTGTGCAGTGGAGTGCCTCTTTAAACGGCCGAGAATGGCACCTGGGCTCCTACACCACTGATGTGTGCAGAGAAGGAGGTCAGACTCTTTCTGTTCCCTCCTTTCCTCCCATCTTACTTTCCCCAGTCTCTAGCGTTCTGAAAGTTTAATCCCCCCCCCCATTCTGACCACAGGCCCTGCCATTCAACAACCAGTCATGAATATAATCTGGGACCCTATCTAGAAAACATGTGCCTGGCATCAAAGGTGGCTTGCCCAGAAGGATTTGCAATCTATGGTCGAGTGGGTCTAGGGAGGTGCTCAGTGGGCAACGTGCTTGCTGCACAAGCATGAAGACCCAAGCATGAGTCCCCAGCACCCACGTAAAAGCTGGGTATAATGATGTGCATCTGTACCTTCAGTGCTGGGGTACAGCTAGCTGGATCCCTGGTGCTCACTGCCCAGCCACCCAGGCTGCCAAAGTGGTAAGATCCAGGTTCAGTGACAGACCCTGTCATAGAAATTAATATGGAGAGCAACAGAGGAAGACACCCAACATTGACCTATGGCCTCCACATTACACACACACACACACACACACACACACACACACACACATACATACACGTGAGGGTATAGTCAGGGTCTGGCACAACCTGTGCTCATATTCTTAAGCCTTCCATGGGTATGAGGTTGTGCATAGTGATAGAGATGCCTACAGTGAGGACCTCAAGGTATTGAGATGCCTTTGACCAATGGTCCTTCCACCAACATTAGCCAGTCAGAGGAGAGGAGAGGAGAGGGGAGGGGAGGGGAGAGGAGGGGAGAGGAGAGGAGAACTCTATAGCATAATCAAATTGGACAAAGTGTCTAAGAGGAGAGGTCTTAAACTAGGCTTGTGAGAACTAAGGTCTAAGGAAAGAAGGTATCTGGGTAACCCATGAAAGGTGAGTCTCTAGAGACCAAGAGGAAAGGGAACCATCCCAGTTGAAAAAAAGCAAGGTCCCAGGCAATGCTGGCCCTCAGGTAACACAAGAGGAAACCAGTTCCTGTGGCAAGGTAGCCAGAGGGACCCTGCCAGGCGACACTGCCTCTACCTCCCATTTTTCTTTCTTCTCTCTCTCTTTCTCTCTCTCTCTCACCTGCCTCCTTTGACTTCCACTGTCTGCTTTTTAAACCTCTCTGCTGGCATTTCTTGGCTACCTCTGTCGCTTGATTGTCTGTTTTTCTTCCTCCTCAACTGTCTTTGTTTCTGAGGTTTTAGGAGATTGAAGGCGGGCCACCCCTCTGGTACTAACTAGGTCTTGTACCCATGCAGCAGCTTCGTCCCCTACACTCAGCAGACCAGACAGGGAGTATGGGGGCACCTTGGATTTCCCGTTACCTCTGTCCTTCAGTGATGGCCTAGACAATTTATACCCCCTATTGCCTATGGCTATATGTTGTCATAACCTGGGTCATTTTCTCATTTAATACTATCCATAAACACAATAAAACTGTCTAGAGCCTAGCAGAGCAGGGAGAGAAGGAGAGACTTGGATTTGGAAGGAGTGGAAAGGTGCCTGAGTTGGGCATGCTCAGAAGGTGGGGGTGCTGGGTAATGATCTAAGGACTTAGTTGGGGCAGGGTCTGCGCTGCGTCATCCGAATGCCATGTTTTCTCTTCCAATCCTGCTCCTGTCCTGGCTGTAGTGTGTCAGATCCTCCCCAAGGGAGTGGTTGCTGTCCTGGGACCATCGTCCAGTCCAGCCTCCAGCTCTATCATCAGCAACATCTGTGGAGAGAAGGAGGTGAGTGTGGGGCTGCATTGGGGAGCAATCGGGCCTGTAGATTGGATCCTTGAATGCAGGAAGGGCCCAAGGATGCTCTGCTATTACCAGCATCATCAATGCCAATGCAAGGTAGAATGGCTACCGGTTCGTGTGAGGACCAATGACCACATCCTTCTTCCAAGTGATAAAAAGAGGGAGAGATGTTTGGCCACAGAATTTCCAAGCTAAGCTCAGTGTCTTGGGGTCCCAGGACAGAGCAGTGCTGGTGATCTGTCATGATGGAGGCTGGCGGTCTAGCCTGAGGCTAAGGGGCCAGAGGTCTGAGTTCTGCACTGTCATCGATGCAGGCAGCTTTTCCCTGGGCTTCTGGGGAAAGAATACCTAAGGGAGAAAAAACCACTGCTCCGTTTTATTGTGAGAATAAAATTTAAAAGCCTCTGCTTTCTGAGTGCATGAGAAAAGAGATTTTATTTTGTTTTCTTCGTTCCTGCGTTTGCTCTTCCAAGCGAGATGTTGGTCCACAGGTGTGACCTCCGAGTGGAGTCTCTCTGGGCCCAAAGTCTGGAGGCCATTTCCTCTGGTTCCAGTTCATGGGACAAAAAAACACGATGGAAGACAGGTTTCCTAGCAACTTGCACTTTAGAGAGCCAGCCGATTGTAGGCATCCTCGTGGGCTCTTTTAGAGGCTGCCTGTCTTTCTCCTGCAAATACATTTCCAGAAGACAGTAGGCAAACGCTCCCCTGGTCCCCCACAGCCTCCCTGTATCCCAAAGGCTTTCTGGACCAGTTTGTAGGAAGCAGATGGACCTTGGTCTTGGGAGGATCATGGGGAGGCAGCACCATCTCCCACCTGTACTGGAGACTGGAGACTTGACTTTCTAGCAGCGTCTGGCTCTGGGGAGTAGCTGGGTACCCTTTCAGAGAAGGCATAACTTCCCCACAGCAAGCTACCCTTTCACGAAGAGGGGGAGTCACAGACAGGCTTCCACCTACCCAGGCTTTCTGGAACCGACCTCTTGATCAGGGTTTGTGAGTAGTCCCTGGTTCTCTAAGCCCATCTCAGAATTGTCACATTCAGGCATCTTACTGCTCTAGTGGCCCCTGTCCCAAGGCTGGATTAGCTTCTCATAGATGCCCAGAACCTCAATTATACCGGAACATGCTTCTTAGCCCAGCTCAGACCACAAAGCCACTTCTGTCCCGCTATAAGGCTTGCAGCGTTTCACAGGCTCAGCCAGGAGCTGACGTTTAATTTAAATCTCTCTCGCTGTGCTACAGGTAACAGTCAAGTGTGTGGCAGGCTGTTACTCCAGCATTGGCTCTGATCTTCACCCAGCTAGGTTGCCAGCGTTTGAGCTCCCACACTCTTCTGCTGATGCCTTTTCCTCTCTGTTCTCTCCCTCTTGCCCCACCACACTCCCTTCACCTGCCCCTTGCTGTTCTCCTCCCAGTCCTCACTCCAGAATAGCCCTTGTCTTGGAACTGGAGCTGTTTCTCATTGGCTTGCAAGACCCTTCACACTGTGTGACCGTGGGAGCCACTGATTTGCAGTGTCCTCCACAGTCCAAGCAGAAGGCGTTGCCCCGAGAGCAGCCAGGCAGTTACCCCTCCTTCATCCAGTCATGTTCTTTCCAGAGTGACCTTGCCTGCCACTCAGATTATGCACTGTGGTTAATATTTTATGAGGCCCAACTCCAGGGAGAAGCCTCCAAGTCCCCGCTATGGGTTCTGGCCTTTTAAATGCTGCTAATATCTCTGAGACCCCATGGCTGGCTGCTTCCTGCCTCCTGCTCTCCCCTCAGCCCCACTGTGGCAACTTCCTGGGATGAATCTGCAATCGCAAATCAATCATGAATTGATTTTTCTCCAAGGCAGAGAACCAGCAGGGTGAGGCCTAGCTACCCCTGCCCAGGCCACAGAGCAGCTGGCTGCCTCTCCAGTAGTCTTCCAGAGGGCTCCCCCACCCAATCCTGAAGAGACCCCTCTACCCTCTCCCTTGTGCAACTAAAAGGGCCTCTGGAACCTTTACAACTAAAGAAGAAAGAAGGGAGAGAAGCCAGACATTTAATTGTTCAGGTGCTGACTGTGTGTGAGTTACAGGGATGTTTTGTTTTTGACACAGAATTCCATTCTTTCTTCCTGGACTCTCAGAAACACCTGAGGTCAACTCTGATTTGATGAAGTTTAGCCAGCTTAAACGGTTTGCTCCTGAGTCACACAGTAGAACCTAGACATGAAACATTCTGTAGACTCCAAAACCCACATCTCCTTCTCCTTCCTGAAAGAGCCCTCCCCAAATCCAGGGCTAGGAGCTATGAATTCATCCATGTCTCCAAGGGTTCCCCACCATGTGGGAACTAATGGGCAAAGCTCTTTGGGCTAGCTGCTGGTCAAGTCAGTGGGCTAACACTCACACAGGGAGGAGTCCCCAGCCTTGCCCTTCATCTGGCTCATTTGTCACCTCTTTTGCCTTTAAGGTGTATGTTACTCACCTTAGATAGAGTGTGTGGAATATTAAATACAAGCAGGAGGAAAGGCCCTCGTGAAATGCACCGGGTCAGCTCTGACCTTGAGAGCATCCTTCACACTCACCAGGCTTTTGTCGATTCTGCACCACACAGGCCCTGCTGAAAAAAAAAAAAAATGGCTGTGCCCTGTGCATGGTTCAGGGGCTAAGCCTAGTTGCATTCAGTAATTCTCTCTTCAGATTTTACTAGATCTTTGCTGTCCTCCCATCTCCATTTCCAAAGAGCTCTGGTTTCTGGCGGACTTCTCCCTAAATCGTAAAAGAGTAAGACACCATCACAGCATTATCACAGCCCCCTGTAGCATTGCTTCTGAGCAAAGCCAGGCAAAAGAAAAAAAAAATCTTCTGTAATCGCCTCTGACTAATCCATTCTGGAAGCCAAGCACCTCATCATCAGGAAATTCTTCTGCTGTCTATTTTCAGTCCCACTTGCTTTCACATCAGTTCAGATTCTCACCCAGTTTCAGCTTTCCCAGCTCTGAGTACCAGGATGAGAGTATCTGGGTAAAATCAAGGTGGATGGCAGCTTATTACAATTTAACTTTCCTATTACCTACTAAATAGCCTAAGCTGTCAATAACGCCACCATCGGTACCACTTAATATCTCCCAGCAAAGTGAGGGAAGACAGCACCTTTTAGAAATGTCACTAGCAGATGTGGTGAGAAGCCAACACTGCTCTGATGAGTTTAGGGTAGATGTTTGGCCATCTGGCTCCACCCAGAGGCTGCCAGTGCTTCTCAGGTTCATTCCTGCCTGCCCCTTGCTCCCGAGCTTTATCCAGGAAGCTTGCTGGGAATTACTGCGTACCAGCTATGTTGGGTTGGGCTGAAGACCTCTTCTCTAACCTCTAGGAAACTACTTGTCTCTTCTTGCCATCTTTGTTCGAGTTCATTAACTACAGATAATATTCTGTAAGGACTATGCCTTCAAGAGTGATTGGACTCTTACACCTCAGAGTATGTACAGAGGTCTCTAGCCAAAGGGTGGCTTGTTCTGGGTCTTTCCAAGGATGTTACCACATCACACTCCCATGGACTCAGAGCCCACGTCCTGCATGCCTTCTTTCCTTTGGTGTGTGTCAAAGGTGTTAAGCAAAAGAAGACATGCCCAGGCACAGCCTGGGTCACCCATCCTGCTTTCCCCCTTTCACTCATTCTGGATCCTCCTTGCTGCCCTTTTTCTGCTCTTCTTGCCAGGTCCCTCATTTCAAAGTGGCCCCAGAGGAGTTTGTCAGGTTCCAGCTGCAGAGATTCACCACCCTGAACCTTCACCCCAGCAACACCGACATCAGCGTGGCTGTGGCTGGGATCTTGAACTTCTTCAACTGCACCACCGCCTGCCTCATCTGTGCCAAAGCAGAATGTACGTATGCCCAGGCTGCCCCCATGACAGACAGCTGGTCTTGTTCACTTCCACTAGGCTGGGGGCTTGTAACCACCCAGGAAAGGGGGGGGGTGTCCTTAGGATCCTGGTCTGACAACAAACAGGTGCAATCTCTCCCTCAATCTCTGTCTCTCTCATTCTCTGTCTCTCCCTGTCTCTGTCCATCTGTCTCTGTCTCTCTGTCTGTCTATCTCTCTCCATATGTGTGCCTGTGCGTGTAAAAGAGAAACAGTGCCCCTAAGCACCCTTTGCCTATACTACCTGGGCATGGAACTAGGTTGCAGGGAGGCTGGCCAACTGCCAAGTCTTTTTGTATCTGCAAACTCAATTCCCACATTTTCAGCCTCATTGTTAAGGGGATACAAAGGGAGAGGGAGAGAGGTGGGAATACAAAATTGAATGCATTTGTACTTGATGAGCTGAGGAGTATCTTCCCCTGGAGAGCAGGTTTTGCTGATGGAACAAGGTCCAAGGTCAATTCCTGATAAAGCATTTTCTTTTTTCTTTCTGCAAACACAGGTTTGGAAATGCATTTTCTGTGTCGCTCACACAATTTGAGACATAAACTTAGTGTTTATGAGATTTAGCTAATTTGAGACAGCAAACATATGTGTCCATGTATTCCAGGTGGCATTTGTGTATCCACTCATTGTCAGTTAGATGCTGGCCACTGGTGTGTGCTGGTGGCCAGTGCTTGGACGCAGCATGTCACCTGCACAGATGAGCCGTACAGGTTGCCCTGACCCTGCAGGTTGTCAAGGGCTGTGCTCATGCGTGGGTGTGTGCTCTCTTCTGGCAGGGCCTGTCCTCGACTTGTCTGAGCTGCTCTGAGCACGGCCCCCCTCTGTCCTAGAATCCAAGTTATGCCTAAAAACAAAGCCACATAACAGATTACAACTACCCTCTTCAGCTGTCCCACGTGACTGCCTGTACACACACACTTTTGTATTTATCCTTCAGCTTTCCTGACCGTATACTCAGCAAAACCTGCTCTCCTGCATGCTTTATCTGTACCTGCTTATTACAACCAAGCAGGGGTACGGAAGGCATGGAACCCCATTTTCAAGTTGGGAAAGTTGAGACTCACATGTAAAGTGACTCACTCACAGTCCTAAACAGTAGGCAGCAGGACGAACGAGTGCTTCTCCATACAGCCCAAGCTCCCTCAGAGACCAGAGTGGACAGAAAAGAGAATGGTCACTGCCTGCAGTGTGAGCTGTCCTCTGTGTGTTTGCTAAATGTCACGTGAGCACTGTGGCTCATGGGAGGAGATGTCCCTGAGCCCAGTGGTGCCAGGAAAGGTCTGCAGGCAAGGGCAGGGCTTCAGATGAACCTGGAAAGATTCGAAGGACTTAGTTAACGGGGAAGAGAGATGCAGGGAGGAGAAAGGAAAGAAGAGGGACTGGTTCTGTGCCCGAGGAGAAGAAGCTGGTTCCATTAAGAATGAATACACTGATAGAAGATGGAAGGAGGCCGAGGCAGGAAATCCAAACCCATGGGTGGCAAGTGAGGAGTGTAGAGTTGGGTCCTGTGTTCACTGAAGGACCTTGGTGGTCTCTTCCATGAGGGACTTCCTCAGAAGAAAGGTCATTGTAATGCTGGGTTTGCCAGTACGGAACAACTAGTTTGAGTAGATAAAAATGAGGCAAGGCTTGAATTCAACTCAAGGAGCTGGAAACCCATAGACCTGGAGGGAGAATGCTTGTTCTGAGGGGTCCAGTCAACAGGGCCTGTGGAGGCTCACGTGTGCATCACATGTAAGAACACACCAGCTCCTCTCCCTGTCAGCCAATTTGGGTATTGAAGCAATTAAGACAAGAAAGTGAATTTGTAGGGGATGGGGTGTGTTAGAGTTCTTAGGCTGGGGGCTCACTGAAGGGCTCAGTGACCAGGAGTAAAAATCCTTCCATATAAAAGAGGAAACAACTCCAGAGGATAGCTGCCTTTGTCTAGAGTCTCATAGCTAGTAAGTGGCCGATCTGGGCCTTAAATCCAGGTTTCCTGGAAAGTAGTTCAGTGTATTGCCAGCATCACCTCTCTATTTGTCAAACTGGGTTCCTCTGGGTCTAAGTTGACCCATGGAATGGTCCCAAGTCACTCATGACTACTTACATTTAAAAATCTGAATGAAGTAAAAATGAAAATTTCAGAGCTGGGTATGGCGGTGCTCATCTGTAAGCTCAGCACTTGGGAGGCTGAGGCAGGAGGATTGCTGTAGATTGAAGCCTTCACAGGCTACAGAGCAAGACTGTTTAAAAAATAAAATTACATTAAAAATAGGAATCTAGACCCTTCATCTTACTAGCCTCATTTCAGGCATTCAATAGCCACATGTAGCTAGTAGGCATCAACTAGCAAGCACTGAGACAGAATATTTCTGCACTGCAGAAAGCTGTCTTGGACAACATTGCTTTGCTGTGCATGATTATGGGCAAAGTGCTCTATAGCAAAAAAGCAAACAGGGAATAAACCTTCATCTTCTTTCCCCCCTGTGGCAACTTACAGTGTGTCTTGGCATGGACCTTCTGAGATGCCTGTGGCTCTCCAAATTGTCTGCCACAAACCTCACAAAGATGCCAATCTGGTAGGCAACAGGATAGAAATATTTGATGGACTGTGGTTGGGAGTGCTGTATTTCTGTCCTCTGTATGTAGTACCCAGCATCACTGAATGATGTTTCAGAATCAAGCCCCCTTCTAGTGCTGGGAATTGATTGTCACAAGGACAGTCTAACGGGACTTACACAGCAGGGCTTTTAAGAGAGAGAGGAGACAGCCCTGCATACTCTCTCCAGGCAAAAGTTTTCTTGAAGTCTACCTCAGTGCTAGTTAACAATGTCTTACCCACCCTTCGGGAAATTACTTCTTGCGTCTAAGCTATGATCCTTCTTGCTTATAAACTGAGCCCTGTTTCTCTCCTCTAGCTTTTATGAGGCCTGGGGAAATATGTGGCTTTGGTGTAGGTTACACATCTACTCTGAAATGAGCACTTTCCTGGGTACTGTTGCCTCCCAGGTCGGTACTCTTTCTGTTGGAATCATGGCTCTCCCTCCTCTACTCAGTCATGCTGGAGTGGAGGACACAGCGTTGGGGTCTTTAAGAGACTTCAAGGTCTTGTCACAGCAAATCCAAGACTCTTCTTCAGGTCCTCTAAGCTCAGGCTGAAACTTGCCCCTCTGAGAGGTGCCCTCTCCTTTGCCAGATCCATACTTACAGCCCCTGGCAGCTGCTTGCTTGTGGGATCTGCCTGGTAGGAATGGAGACTTCCAGAGCACAGGTCCCCACAGTCCTTGAAAAGAGGGGCAGGGTGGCTGGATACAGTCCAGGGTCTAGAAGACAAGAGGATGTCCGGCCAGAGGCTCAGGGCATCTCTAGCCCTGTGTGGCAATAGTGAGTTCTGCTTAAAGAACAGGTTAGGTTGCTTGACTTCCATTCCCACCCCCTAGGCCAGGGGGAGGAAGGTAGGGCAGGCAGGCAGGAGAAGTTCAAGGGCAGAGAAGATTAAAAATCTAATCAAAGGCTGAGGAAATGAGGGGCTTTGGGGAGAGGTGGCTCAGGGCTCGGGATGAGACCTTCTTCAATCTTCCCTATTAATGCTGGGCCAAGAGACACTGGGGGTGGAATTAGGAGCGGGAATCTAATTCTATTTCCCAGCCTCGGAATCACATAACAGGTATCATTCCACAGGGAACTGACCACATGTGCTCCTGTTTCCCAGAAGGAGTATTTTTTTTTTTTTTTTTAATAATCAGGTTTGGGACCAAGCAGAAATACATAGTGAATCACATTATTTTTCTTTAATGAGAGAGAGAGAAAAAAAATACTCACAACATCTATAAATCTTATTTCTAAAAAGACGGAGAGGAGATGGAGTGGGTGGCCCTTCCGTGGCCCTCCTAGGCATTCCCACAGAACTGTCTGAGGGCTTCCAAGGGAAAGAGAACCACCCTGAAGATGACGAAATGGCTGTGAGGGAAGTGATTGTCATGCAAGCACGAGAACTCAAGTCTGGATCCTCACAGAACCCACATAAAAACCTGGTGGGTTCTAAATACTTGCAAACTCAATGCTGGAGAAGCAGAGACAGGAAGCTCCCCAGCCCGCCAAGCTAGCTAAGCTATTGAGCCCCAGTTTCAGAGATGCTCTGTCTCAAAAAATAAGGACCATGATTGAGGAGGGCATACAAAATTAACCTCTGGCCTCCACTTGAAAACACACACACACACACACACACACACACACACACACACATGCATGACGGGGAGAGGAAGAGAGAGATCACCACGCTATTGTAGCTCAGAGGAGCTGTTCCATGCTCAGCAGTTCAGTCCACCTTCCTGAGCGTTTCTTTCCTCTTCTTTCTGTTGTTGGGGATGATCAAACTCATTGCGGTGACAGGGCCAGAAAGTCCCCTCACCCGGAGGATGATACACATTTGATTATTGCTATCTCGCCCTGCAACTCCGGCTGAGGCAGTGGGAGCCAAGCAGGGACTCCCAGGACCCTTTCAAAGAGTAGCTGGGACAGCAGTGGCTCTTCTCCGTGAGCCTGTGGGAAGCCCCTTGCTCATAATGTTACAGACCTATCCGTGTACCCACAGGCTGACCTTTGGAGGGGACACTCATCCCGGTGACACGTACTGTGTGCTGCATACCCTGCTGAGAGTTTTCTGCTATCCCCTTTCAACCTAAAGTTTCTCAGGTCCTGGGTTTGGGCCCTGAAGTTACCCAAAGGTTTAACTTCTCTAATTTAAACCAGAGAACTGAAGATCACTGTATACGACAGGGTCTGTTATCAGTGTCTTTAATATGCACAAAGAAAGGAGAGGTGACATCCAGTTTTAGGGTCACACGGCTCCCACCTCCCTTGGCCTTGCTCACTCCTCTGATCCACATCAGAGAGACAGGAGTGAGGAACACCTTTTCCTACATGTGGGGAGCACAGAGACCTCCCGTGTGAATGGTGCTGCTGGAGGCCAGG